CTCGCTTCTGTCAGTGGCAACTGTGGCTACAACTGTAGCTTGCCTCCACCAGTGTGTGAATGGGTGGATGACTGGGTGTGTAAAGCGCTTTGGGGTCCCTAGGGGGGACTAGTAAAAGCGCTATACAAATACAGGCCATTTACCATAGTACGTCACGAGCTCCCTCGGTGGAGTGAAACGCTGCCGTCTGCTCCTTGTTATCGAAAATATAACCGGGCACTGACGTAAACTCTTCTCTTTAATCACTTTCTGTTTGACGTTTATTCAGCTGTGTGAAACCCCAGAGGAACCCTCCCGAGGGATTAATAAAGTTAAATTTAATTTAATGTAATCTAATCTAATAACTTTAATCTCAGCCAAACCGATTTACTCACTAAGAAATAAAACACTGAAAAAGCCAAACAATATCATTTTTAAGTTATCAAAGTGACATATATATATATATTAACCCGAGTAGCGAAAGACCGCGGGGGTTTGAAAACGATGTGTCCGTTGGCTCAGATATTTGAAGTTTACACAGCTACATTCTCATCTGAAAATATGTTAAAAGTTTTTTTGCAACCCAGAAAGAGAAATAAGAGTAATATTAAAACTAAGTTGCTGCCGCCATTGTTGGAAACTGGAATTGGCTGGGCCGCGCTATGAATTCTGAAATATGGTTTTTCAATTTTGTTGTCTGGGTGGAAATTCGGGAAAAATTTGGGAGAATGGTGGCTCCGGGAGATTTTCGGGAGGGGCACTGAAATTCGGTATTCTCCCGGAAAAATCGGGAGGGTTGGCATGTATGGTTGTGGCAACATCACTAACCTTGTCAAACACCTCAGAGTAAATCATATCACAGAATATGACAAGCGTATGTTGAGGTGAACTGAAGAGGAGGACAGGGACAGGTGCTGCTAGGGCGAGACAGACGTCTCTCACGGAGTCCTTTAGTGCTGCTGGCAAGGTGTTCAAATAGCGCACAACTTCAGGTTTTTTATTTCTATGTGATGAACTCTGCATTATTAAGTGATAAGAACAAGTAATCTG